GCACCCGTACATCCATTTCACGCAGCTCACTTAAGGATTAACCTGCAAAAACCAAACATTTGCTCAAACAAGACTTCCTACACATCTAAAACCTACAAACAGCAAATTATTGAATTATAGGTACTTAACCAAACATTTTCAAACCAAAAGGAGTATATATGTTAACAAAACTTGCATTTGACTTACCAATTAACAATGGATACTTTCATAACGCGGATGCAGGTAGGCAACGTCTAGAATATATGGCTCTAGCCATATAATGCCGAAACCACAAGCCTATTGCAGCTCTATCTCTATCGGTGGGAGGTAGAAACTCTGTGCTTCCCGTCGTCAAACGTGCCAAGCACATGCATACGAGAGGACCACAATCCCCTCTGGCTCTCGACGATTGTTGTGGCACGGTCTCGTCTCTGACAGCTGTGACATTGAACTTCTTTGGCTTCTTGTGTCCAGAATGAGTCCAATAATTAATCCCATCCAAGAATTTAGCCAAATGAGAGCTCCATCCCTTGATAATATCTCTCAAATCAGACAGTGATATGTAATTTATCATGCTGTCATATACTATTATCTTCAGGGATGGGAGCTGAAGTTAGACGAGAAGCCAATAACGACGTTCCAAAACAGGGATAAACACCTGCAATCATAAGTAATAATTCATTTATTTGCGCACTTATTTATGAACACCTTTAAAAAATTTAAAAAATAAACACTAACCTTATCGACCTCCCACCATACAGGATAAAGTTTAGCTTGTCCATTGCCCAACGAAAATGATTCATCTCGTTGATTCTTCAAGTGAACTGCGTGAAAAGCCGCCGACATTATTGTATATCGCGAATTTTTTTTATTTTTCCTAAGCTTCCTTATTATTAGAAGACGTGACACCCACGCATCGATATGTTGTTTTACAAAAAAAAGACATATATTAGTGAATTACATTAATTTTTTAAAAAATTAATCAAAATCATATATAAGTCAAATATAAGACTTACCTCCCCATCGAAATAGCCACTGTCTTCAACCCCTAATAACACACCCCGCCAAGACCGATTAAGCAACAAATACATCTCATCGTTGAGTTTGCTTATGTCAGTGTAACACCCTTGGCTCCGCTCATGTAGATAAAAATCAACTGCGGTCTTAGCCCAAAGGGTATTATCCAGAATTGTTTCCGGTAGTTGTCTCCTCTCCACTTCAGATACCGGAAGGGTACTAGCCGGTAACTCATACGAGAGCCAACTCTCATCGATTATGTCCGGCAACGGTGGGGGTTTCTCAATAATTCGATATATTACCCCATGTGAATCGATCTCTGGAATGGTGGGAGGGACCTCTTCAACGATGACAGTGGCCTCTTAAACGGTGGGGGGGACTCTTGAGGGATGATAGGGGCCTCTTGAACGATTGGAGGGGACTCTTGAGGAATGACAGGTGAATCGGGCTTCTTCGCGGAGTCTTCGCACCATTGGGGTGAACGGAGACGTAATAGCACGTGCACGCCGTCTGATGCGTGAACTCCGTCGTGCAAGGAAACCCCGACGTAAAGCATCCACCTTATCGGGCCGCTAAAAAAAATTAATGCATAAATCAGTAAATAAACAGACATGATATTAAACAAAGACAAATATGTTTCAAACTTGCATTGTATTCACCCAAGTCATTATTCTATCATAGTTCACAAAATGCATCAGATAACATTCCAGAAGTAAGCACTTATATAAACATTTAAAAGGACAATATATATAAACATTCAAGAAGAAGAATAGTTTACTTTCGCAACATGAAACTTACTTTCGCAACGCGAAAATGACTATCGCAACGCGAAAATGGCTATCGCAATGCGAAATGAAAATCGCAACGACAAAATCGCAATGCGAAATGAAAATCGCTTTTCGCGTTGCGATTTTCATTTCGCGTTGCGATTTTCATTTCGCATTGCAATTTTGTCGTTGCGATTTTCATTTCGCATTGCGATAGCCATTTCCGCGTTGCGATAGTCATTTTCGTGTTGCGAAAGTAAACTATTCTTCTTCTGCAAATTGAAACTTGAATGGATTGCATTACTTCAACCAAAAGACAAAAACAAAACCAAAAACAAATACTAACAAAAATAGTTTAGCAGTATTGGCAGCAACCGAATTAATTTATTAAGCAATCTAAGTGAAATGGTTAATCTAAGTGAAATTACGAGTAAATTTATCATCAAGTTAAATATGAAAAATCTTAAACTTACCTCGTTGCGTAGAGTATGAACCTCATTCTGCAACGATGCTACCATCTCACGTAGAGCGGCTACCTCACCGCGTAAAGTAGACACCTCAACACGCCATGCACCATCGTCTTTGCATAAAGTACCGACCTCCTCACGCAAGACATTGACCTCATCACGTAACTCTCCTAACTCATCCCGTGGAGGTGGAGGTGGAGAACAGGGAGATAAACGTCGTGGCATCTTTGTCGGTCGCCTATCTTGCGGTGATGGTGGAGAAAAGGCTCGATGATGTGATAGAATAGGTGATGGCTGTCATTGTGGAGGTGTATAGTCGGGTCGATCAGGTGATGGCTCTGGGTGAGGTGATAGCTCTGGGTGAGGTGATGGCTCCCGAAGTGGAGGCTGCTCATCATCCGTGCCATCAAAAAAACACTTACTAGCTTGCCACCAATCAGTGGCAAGCTCAGCTTCCGTGGGTGTCTGCCTCTGTAATGGAGTGTTGGCCTCCTAACAATATAAAAGCTCAAACAAAGTTAAACGTGTACTAATAATAACTTGTTTATAAACATATGGTAGTATTTATGTTAACTTACATTATTTATTGTCGTATACCGTAGTAAATCTTCCCATTGCAAGGTTCGTTTCCTCTTCCAGGAAATAGCCCTGGGAATATCATTTGAAGTTTTTATTGCATATATCTTCATGGCGGGAAATGCCTCAAATATCCAAATCTACAAACAATATAATAACAAACATTAGTAATTGTTAAATAATTACTTATAATTTTGGAAACATTATATAAAAAATTCTTACCTTAAAGGCCCAAATAAAGCCTGTCAAAGTGTATTTGGAACCATTGCCATGCAAACTTTTTCGATCATCCAAGGCAGACGATAACTTATTCCATGTAGCTTTCCATAAATACGAGCCCCATGGAAACAGGTTCCACGCATTTAGGTCTTCTACCAATTTGATTAGATCATTCGGAATAGGTTGTCTGGCCTCTCTGCCTAAAAAGTCGGTATGCAAAAGTATTAGAAGGCATACTCGGACAACATCGACATCATCCATCCGAGTAAAACCATCTTTCTTATTCAATAATATCGTCAGGTCTTCCACGTGTAGATTCGACCTCTCCATCTCAGGAAAAACCCGGGATAACCATGATGGGCGGGTAATGAGTCTAGTGTACCGACCTACATCATCGTGTCCGAAGCGTAGACCGGTGATTAAGCAAAACTCCTCCCGCCCAAAACACGTATACGCCGGTGGAAAATCAAACCATATCTCTTCATCACGACGTTGTATAGTATCTGGTAGATCCCTAGTCATGGTTTGAAGAAACAGGTGTGTCAACATCGCATCTCCACCGGGATGTTGTACTTTCAGCCATGGCCCGAAGCAAGTATCCTCAAACATTTTTCTTTGTGCAGGTGAAAGCTTCGACGCAATTGTTTTGGCCAGGCTGACTTTATTTCTTAAGGTCAATTGAGCCGAATAAAAGTTCTACAAAAACAATAAACATACTAAGTTAGATATACCAAAAACTACACTGTGAAGATATACCAAAAACAATAATAAACATAAAGAGTAGTAGTTTATTCTTCAAACTTAAATTTGCAACACTGTGAATTTCTTATTTGTCTTTGTTTTTTGGTTGAAGTAATGCAATTCATTCAAGTTTCAATTTGCAGAAGAAGAATATTTTCTGAAAATGAAAATCGCAACACAAAAATGACAATCGCAACGCGAATTTGACTATCGCTACGAGAGAATAAAATCGCGTTGCGATTTTGTCGTTGCGATTTTCATTTCGCGTTGCGATTCTCGGTTGATTTAATAAGCAATCTAAGTGAAATGGTTAATCTATTATTGAAATTACCAGTAAACTTATAATCAATTTCAATATGAAAAACCTAATAATAATGAAAAAATTTCAAAAAGAAAATAATTAAAAAAACTAACCCTCGGTGGTTGATTTGGTTGATTTTCCATTTCTGATTGTGAGGGTGGCTCTAAGAGATGGAGATAGACGGATTTCACCGGAGATGGGGACGGATTTCGTCGGAGATGGGTGAGAGAGTGAGAGATGGAGATGGAGATGGGACTGAGTTGTGATTTTAGGTTTTAGGTTATGAGTTGCGATTACGGGATATACTGTGGACGGTTTAGTGTTCCAATATATTAATATTCGTGTTTGGAATTTGAAAATAAAATACGCTTTGTGATACTAATGGCGCTTTGAAAATCGCATTGCGATTATGTATTATCTCGTTGCGAAAGTCAGTATTGAGTTGCGAAATTAAGTATCGAGTTGCGAAAGTCAGTATCGCGTTGCGATTTTGTATTATCGCGTTGCGATAGTCAGTACCGCGTTACGATTTTCCAAATTCGCATTGCGATTTACCATATTCGCATTGCGAATTGGGAAAATCGCAACGCGAAATTGGAAAATCGCATTGCGATAGTCATAATCGCGTTGCGAATCTGGAAACTGATTTGCGATAATGGAGATCGCGTTGCGAATTAGCGATCGCATTGCGATTTTGTTGGTCATTTTGGCAAATCCGGAAAAAGTTGGTTAAAATCATATATTATATGAGATTTTTGGTCACTGAGGTTATTTTCTCTAAATAAAAAGTTAGTGGCCGAAATTAGCAGAAATAGAAAACAAGGGAATAAATTGAAAACAAATAGAACATAAAGGACTAACATTATAATTAAACCCTAGAAATATATACTAACTTACTTAGCAGATTTGGTTAAACCTTAAAAAAAACTGTCGCATGCTCTCTCAACTCTCCCTCTTCAATCATATGGCTATCGCATCTCAAGGAAAAGAAGACCAAACTCACTGGCCACCGCTCAACCACCATATTTCGGTGGTAGCTCGCCCCTCCTACCGCTACTAGACTCGACCTGGTAAGCCCTAAGACCACCCAAAACTTAATCGATCCTTTTTTCTCTTTTAATCTCTCTCTTCACTTCGACCGAAACCAAAGAGAGACCAACACAGCCGTAGATCTATGTTCTTCAACCCTTGGGCCACCACCAGCGGTGGCCGGTCGAACCTTAACTCGACCTAGACCAAACCAAACTCCCCTTTCTTCTCCTTTTCAAAACATAGAGAACCCAAAAACAACAATCCTCCCGAACGCCGAAACTAAACTCCGACCGCTCGTTTTCCTTTCACTCCTGTGATGCTAGCTCCAACAAAAGGGACCCTATGACTCAGGTAACAACAAAAAATCCCTCTCTCTTCTCCTTTTCGATTTTCAAACAATTGAGGAACGATGAAAAAAAGGTTTGAAAATGAATACCTTTTGAAAGATTTTTGTTGTATATTGATTGTTTCGAAAAATGAAGGGAATTCCCCACTGTTACTGTAATGGATGATGTTTAGAATTTAAGAAAGGATTTAAGAAATAGAGTAGAAGAGATTGAAGAAAAGAACTTCATAGCATTTTTATTGATAATTTTGTTTGTTTTTACAACCGGTATATAGTTGAGATTGCTCAATAAAAGAGTGCTAGCTGTATTGTCCTTTTTAACAACTAATATTCTCTTAACTGCTGCTTTCTTCTTCTAGATTTATTTGCAGGTTATTGGGTTCGTTCTTCTCTGGTTTGGGCTTGTTCTTTTCTAGTCTACAACACCCATCTGATCCATGATTCCCCTCAGGTATGTTTCCCGCCTAATCCATCTCCAAAATCCCTAATTCGATCATTTCCCCCAATTGCTTCTACTGTTTTCCCATTTCCACCTCGTGGGTCATGACAATAACCCCAGCTACAGTTGATGGTTGTCCCCAAGGATCAAAGTCAGGGAATTGTGATCGCAGTACCGTGAAATCTTCCCAGGTTGCGTTTTCCACTCCTAAATTCGACCACTGGATTAATAGTTGAATAATTGCCTTGTTGTTCCTTTTCAGAACTCTCTTATCCAAAACGATCGCAGGATAAACCCGAAGCTAGCCATCAGAAGTAAGTTCAGGTGGGTCTCTTGAAGCAACACTTTTTTCTCTAATTTTTCTTTTCAGAAGACTGGTGTGGAATACCGAATGGAGTCGAGAATGATCTGGTAATTCCAGTTGATATGCCACTGAACTAATTCACTTTTTAATTTTGTAGGGACCATAGTAACGAGCAGACAATTTTAGATTTCTACGTAAGGCCAATGATGTCTTCTGATAAGGTTGAAGCTTAAGGTAAACCTCTTCCCATTCTTTAAACTCTCGATCACTGTGTTTCTGATCTGTATAGTGTTTCTCGATGTTTTACTTTGTTAAGTTGGTCAAGTAGTATACTGTTGACATTGTCTCTCTCTTGCATAAACTGTTGCACATCAGCCACCCTTGATTCAGTCGCCCAAGTCATCGTTGGTGGTGTGTAACCATATAAGGCAGTAAAGGGAGTAGTACCTAATGTTGTATGAAAATTAGTGTTGTACCACCATTCTTCATGAGATAACCACTTAGCCCGTGAATTTGGCTTTAAAAAACAAAGTTCTCGTAGGTACTGCTCCAGACATTGATTAAGTCTTTCGGTCTGACCATCCGTTTGAGGATGATAGGCAGTTGTAAATAGGGTTGTAGTCCTTAATAACTTCAATAACTCCTTCCAAAAAGTACTAGAAAAATCTTGTCTCGATCAGAGAGAGCAACCTTAGGTTGACCATGAAGTTTATAGACCTGATCTAAGTAGATCTTAGCAACTTCAGTAGTTGTGAAAGGATGAACCAGGGATAAAAAATGCCCATGTTTTGTGAATTTGTCAATTATCACCAAAATAGAATTGTATCTATTAGGAGGAGGCAACCCCTTAATAAAGTCTATGGTAATAAACTCCCAAACTTGTGCTCTTAATACACCTGTCTCACCAATATACACTCTACCTTTGTATCTTAAGACCCCTTTAGTATAAGACCAATATGATATGCCTTCATTACTAACTAGCAACCTAGGAATTAAATCCTTTGCCAAAGAATCCCCTTCATAACTGTTTTTCACCTCATGTACCCATGCAGGAATTACTACTGTAGTAGATAACTGATTTAATTCAGAATATTCTTCAAACCTTCTTGATAAGGCATCAGCAGCTCTATTGTGTTTTCCTTTGTGAAACTGAATTGAGTAGTCCAGTCCCAACAGTTTGGTAAGACCTTTCTTTTGAATTGTAGTAGTGAGCTTTTGTTCTACCAAATGCTTCAAGGATTCATGATCTTTTTTGATTGTAAAAGGACTTCCTTCGAGATAATGTCTCCATTTGGAAATATCCATTAGTATTGCTAAATACTCTTTCTCATATATATATAAGTCAACATGCTTTGGTCCCAAAGCCTTACTGAGGTAAGCAATTGACTCTCCTGAGATAGGACTACGCCTATACCTTTAGAGCTAGCATTAGTTTCCAAACAAAACCGTTTGCTGAAATCTGGTAGAGATAGCACTAGAGCACTACACATAGTCTTTTTAAGGCTGATAAATGCCTTCTTAGCTTCCTCAGTCCAGATAAATTGATCATTATTTAACATTGTAGTGAGGGGTTTACTAATTTCTCCGTAACCCTTAATAAACTTTTGATAATAGCCAGTGAGGCCCAAAAACCCTAGTAAAGATTTCAAATTCTTTGGAATAGACCATTCCTGAATAGCTTGAATCTTCGAGGAATTTGTAGCTACTCCATGCTGAGAAATAGTATGTCCAAGATACTCCACTTCTGATTAGCCGAAAAAACACTTATTTCTCTTAGCAAAAATCTAATTTTTCCTTAGAATCTCCAAAACAATTCTTAGTTGCTGTGCATGACAATGCAAATCAGGACTGTAGATTAAAATATCATCAAAGAATACTAGGACAAATTTCCTGAGGTATGCTCCAAATAGATCATTCATAAGAGCTTGAAAAGTAGCTGGTACATTAGTTAAACCAAAGGGCATCACCTTAAATTCAAAATGACCATGGTGTATCATGAAGGCTGTTTTTGGAATGTCTTCAGTCGTAATCCGGATTTGTCAGTATCCAGATCTTAAATCCAATTTAAAAAAATATTTAGCTCTAGCTAGTTCATCCACCACAGGAATAAGAAACTTGTTCTTCAAAGTTAGTGCATTTAACTGTCTATAATCAATGCACATTTTCCAACTACCATCTTTCTTTTTGACTAACAAGCAAGGTGAAGAAAAATGGCTTTTGCTGGTTTGAATAATTGATGCAACTAACATCTCAGCCACTTGTTTCTCAACCTCAATTTTCTGATGGTAAGGCCTTCTGTAGGGTCTTACATTGACTGTTTATGTTCCTGATTTTAGGGTAATAGAATGATCGTCCTTCCTTTTTGGAGGCATTCCAGTAGGTTCTTCAAACATATCCTTGTAGTTAGATATTACTGCTTGGATTGTAGAAGGTATTTCATTGTCACCAATCTCTGCATTTAACATATAAATTTCCCCCACCAAATCAGGATTTTTAGTCATCAGTTTTTTTATTTTGTTGTTTGACATCACCTTCATTGCAGCAGTAATCAACCCTCCTTTCAACACAATATCTTGGTTACCCATTTTAAAATTAAGAGTCATGTTAAAATCCATCAGTATTGGACTGTATTTCTTTATCCAGTCAACTCCTATCACCATATCACTACTTCTAAGGGGTAAAACCGTGAAATCATAGACAAAGGTAAAGTCTTGCATCTCCCAACTTAATTGTTTACTTTTTTTTGTGTTGTAAAGTTTGTCACCATTAGCTATTGTGATGACTAATGGATTAGTTTCCTCCAATTCCAATCCTTCTTTAGCCCACCTGTTAGTGACAAAACTATGGGTGTTTTCATTATCAATCAAAATACTGAGTGGTTTCCCTTTGATGAATCCTTGGATCCTTAAGGTATTACTTCATGAACTACCAGTTATTACATTCATAGAAATCTCAGGATCCTTTTCGTCTGATGTCATTCTATCAGAAGTATTCTATACTGTCTGTAATTCTTCTTGTTCCTCCTGCTCTTCCACATTCAATTGTTTCAGTCTGCAGTGATGGCCTGGAGTGAATTTATCACCACATTTATAGCACAAATTATTTGCCCTCCTATACTCCAGCAACTGTTGTCTGTTTTGAGTCAAACCTTGGTTGCTTTTCGAAGGTGAACTCATTGGGGAATTAGATGTTTTGTAACTGGTATTATGCCCTTGCATTATTGGGTTTGGAACACTTTTAAATCTTTTGTTTTCCACTTCCAAGGACAGCTCATAAAGCTTTACTTTTCTAGTAGCTTCAACTACTGTCTTTGGCTCCAAGACTTTTACTTTATGTTTCAGTTCCTCCTTAAGGCCACTCAAAAACTAGAAACAAAATATTCCTCTCCTAATTCAGGATTAATCTGAAGAAGGAAGGGTTGAAGTTCCTCAAACTGAGCTTCATACTCCTCCACAGAAGATAGTTGAATCAATTTATTAAACTCATCAATGACATCAATATATCCCTTATCAGAAAATCTATGACACATATAAGAAACAAATTCATGCCAAGTAACTCGACTTTTCTTCATAATATACCCGTCAAACCATACTTCTGCCTTACCAGTGAAGTACATAACAGCTATCTCTAACTTTTGAAATTCAAGAACAGTAAAAATAGAAAAATATTTTTCACATCTCCGGATCCAACTCCTAGGATTACTACCATCAAAGAACTGGAGCTCTATTTTGGGTTTTGGAAGAAACATACCAGTATTGGTGTTGTTGGAATATTTTCCATGAATGGATGGCCTTTAATGGTAGATTGTTCCCCTGATTCAGTTGTATTGACTCCTACTTTCATCTTAAAAGCATCATGAGTTGTTTGATTAGGATCTTGTTGAAAAGTAGGTTTCGAGGCTAGAATCCCTGGTTGTCCTGGTTGAAATGAATATTTCTCACGATCATTAATGACTGTGACTTGTAAAGGTAGCTTACTTGCTACTTTAGTATGAGTTGTGGGTAATGGTAGTTATTATGCAGGAGAAGATTGTCCAAACTCAGTTCTAGCTTTTTGCATCAGCCCCAAAAGTTGCTGGAGGCATGTTTTAGTTTCATTTGTTGTTGTCTCCAAGGCTTACATCCTCTGCTCCAAATCACGTTGTTGATTAAGCCACCAAGTTGGAATTGCTTCTGCTTCTGAGGGACCTTCTGGATCAGCAGGAATGATCGGCGGTGGATCATTGTGAGTCATTTGCTGTGTTTTTCTTGTTTTACCCAGTTTGAAAAAAAAAATTATGTACTTTTGGATCAAAATAACCTTTCTCTGGATACCAATTGTAATGGATGATGTTTAGAAATTAAGAAAGGATTTAATAAATATAGTAGAAGAGATTGAAGAAAGGAACTTCATAGCATTTTCATTGATAATTTTGTTTGTTTTTACAATCGGTATATAGTTGAGATTGCTCAATAAAAGAGTACCAGCTGTGTTGTCATTTTTAACAACTAACATTCTCTTAACAGTTGCTTTCTTCTTCTGGATTCATTTGCAGGTTATTGGGTTCGTTCTTCTCTGGTTTGAGCTTGTTCTTCTCTAGTCCACAGCACCCATCTGATCCATGATTCCCCTCAAGTATGTTTCCCGCCTAGTCCATCTCTAAAATCCCTAATTCGATCGTTTTCCCCAATTACTTCTCATCCTTTCCTATTTCCGTCTTGTGGGTCATGACAATTACACCTTTTTTTTCCGAGAGGAACAGAAAAGTAGGAGCCCCTTACAAATCATTTCCGGGTTTCTTATATCCCGTTTACAAAGTTACCCAAAACTAAAAAAAAGCCTTCTTTTTGTTTTTACAGCTCATATTCCTTTTGTCCCTTTGTGCATGAGATTGCTGATGATGCATTTTGGTGTTTGCTGGAAGCATTTGGGGCTATCATTGACGCTTGCTAGAGGCTCGGTGTAAGCTTGGGTCCACTGTTGCTTCGTGACTTCTCAGGTGGCCTAAGGACCACTGCTTGGTAGATGAGGAGGCGGTGGGGACCAGACTGGTTTCTGGCGCTGATGTGGAATGGAAATCGAATGGTGTAGATGAGCACCGGGCTCTTGGCGGCACGACCGAAGAGAACCCTTGCTAGGGTTTTTGCACACTTAAGAAAGTTGGGCTTAGTTTCGTGGGTTATGGGATAGATATTTAGGCTTTGGGTTGCCATGTGTTGTATATTTGATTTGTATATGTAGCACTTTGTATCACATTTGATTTGTAAACGGACACTCCTATTGGACACTTGAATTTGGGCATGTAATTTATACAATTGAATTTGGTATGTAGCACTTTGGGTTTTATGAAATTTGGTAAAACACCATTAAATTTTCATTTGCAAAGTCAACCATGAAACCCAAATCCGAATCTTCCAAGTTATTCAAATTGCCCATATATTTTCACCACAGCAGATTCAATGAGGCACTTCAAAATTAGCTCCATCGACTCATAACAAAGTAACTTCAAAAACCTTGATAATCATTCCAATCTGGGGCCTCCATGATCTGTCTTTTATCGTGCCACCATGGCAGACTTCATATTAATTTTGTTCGCTCAAAACTCACTTTGAATTGTTCGACAAAATTAGGATATTACAAAAATTTAACTGATAAATAAAATTCATTAACTCAAACTTTTTAAATTCAACTCGACTTAATGTTTAATTACACCTTTAACCCATATAGGAAGTAAACAAAATATATATGTTAGGTACAATGCACAGAAGCCAGATTTCAATCTAATCCGGATCGGATAAAAGCCGATCCGGTTTTTTCCCCCAACCCAAAAATCGGATTTTAAAAAAATCGGATCGGATTCTAATCGGTTTGGAGGGCCGGATGGTGTAACCGGTTTCGGTTTGCAAAAAACCGGTTTTTTTTTTAAAAAACCGGATTTTTTTCCGGATAAAAAACCAGTTTTTTATCCGGTTTGAAAAAACCGGTTTTTTATCCGGATAAAAAACCAGTTTTTTATCCGGTTTGAAAAAAACCGGTTTTTAATCCGGTAAAAAAACCGGTCGTTCAATTTTTTCCCAAACCGGTTATACTATCCGGTTTTTAAATATCCGATCCGGTTTAAAAAAAACCGATTTTTTCAAAATCCGGTTTCAGATATTTTTTAGACAAAATCGGATATTCGGATTTTTTGTGCACCTCTAGGTACAAGAATAACAATAAACCGAGAGATCAAAGATTTGCTTGGTGAAGATAATTACTCGTTTAACATGCATAATGCATTCCAGAGATATAAACCCGCCTCTATAACACTGTCACTCGTTCAAAAATTGGAGAAATTATTTCATGGACTCTTTTTTGTTAGATTAAAATCTATAATTATGGGCACACATTTTTAAGTATATTGTTATCTTAAAATATGTCATAAATTAATTGACAAATGAAGTATCGTGGAAATAAAAGTATATATATATTATTAAATTTGTATTTATAATTCGATGAGAGGGAGAGATATAAGTAAAATTAGGGTGTGCAAAAATACTCGATCCGGTTGGCCCGACTTGCCGACCCAAACCTAAAAAAACCAGGTAATTTTCTTTAAAAAATTTACCTGGCTGGGTCAGGTACCCTACCCACAAAATTGAATTTTTCCGGGTACCTGGTTACCCGAGTACCCGATTAGGGATTTTTTATATATAAAATAATATTATATTATTATATATATTTAATTATTAATAATATATTATTATATATTTCATATATAAAATATTATTATATTATTAATTGTTAATAATATTATATTATTCTATATTTAATTATTAATAATATTATACGTACATTTAAATTTGTGTGTTTTTTAATTAATAATTTGAAAAAAACCCGGGTATTCGAGTACCTGAAATACATGTACTCACAAAATCAGGGTACCCGCAACATCCGGGTCGGGACACGGGCCGAGAAATCAATTACCCGAAGATCCGGATGCTCGAAAACACGGGTACCTGAATTTGCACACCCCTAAGTACAAACAATAACTGATTCTTAAATAAGTTATATAAAGAAATATGTCATCTCTTATTTTCTCTTATTCTTATCAGATAGTTTATACTTAAGAGAATTATACTCAAGGATTTCAACCTATCGATTAATTCAGGTACACTTTCACATCTAGTATTTTATTATTGAAGATTTGACATAATTAAATCCGGTTTGATTTCATAATTTGATAAGGTAAATACATTTGTGTATTAGGATAGTTACTTTGTTTCAACAATAAGTGCAACTATGTCTAGAATATGATTAGTATGCTGTTAGGAATATTTGTGCTGCACTATTGTTTAAAGCTGAGTTTTGGTAGAGAGACGGTTAAGTTTGTTAGTCCGTTAGGCTCTTCCAATACTCAGTGCTCTCCTTATATATATAGCTGGTTCCCATTTGAGAATATTACAATTTTCATTAATAAAGCTTCAGAGAGTCTCTTTCTCCTATTGTTACTTAATTCTCTTCTATTTCCATATTTATAGTAGCCGTCTTTCGAGTGGACCCAAAATTCGGTTTCGACTTAATTTCGATGTGTTAGAGCCACCACCGATCATTTAAAATTAGGTTATCAGACACCTCAACTTACTATTTATCTGAATGCGTTTTACCAGAAATTAGTCGAATTCGGGAGTCGATTACAGTTAATGAATGATTAGCACCCTTGTACTGTCCTTTCGGTACCAATTTATTTTATCGGTTGTCTTAATTGCGAAAGTTAAATTAAAATTTAAAAGTTCGATCAGAATTACTTACCTTCGATGATTAGAAATTGTCCTGAAAAACAATCGAATTAGTATTTAAGAATAAAAGAAAATTTAAAAGAATTAATATAAAATCTAAAAGAAATAATAAAAATAGAAATAAAAGAAAACTTAAATTAAAAGGATTAAATTGGAAATAATTGAAAATCCAGGATCAAATTGAAGTTAATTGAAACTGCAAGGACAAAAACAAAAGTTAGGGGGTTAAATTGCAAAAATATAAAAAAAATGCACAAGGATTAAATTGAAATAATTCAAAATTTCAAGGCCAATTTACAATAGGTGACCAGAACGGATAACACTTCAAAATACTAGGGACTACGTAAATAATTTAAAATACTTTTAATTACACTCTAGTCCCTACTATAAATACCCCAATATTAGAAAAAAATTCAATTTTCCACTTATTTCAACAAAAACTCTCCCCCCTCTTTCAAATTCTCTCAAGTTTTCCCCACCGGCCTATAGCTGGCCACTTATTGATGAGTCCGACGGCCGCTCAACCACAGCTCTGACCACCGCCTCTGGTGGCCGGAAAACCCTAAGCCTACCTCAAAAGCTTCCTCTCCACTCCCCGAACCCAAAACCAAAGCCTAACTACTCGAACTACGTCCCAAACGGAGTAGATCTAACAAAAAAGATTTCTACTTTACCTTTTTCGGCGAGCTTTCCAGCGACTGTTTCCTTATCCGAACCTAAATCGACGTTCGCCTCGCCCCCTTGGGATTTATTTTCCTATTTCAGAATGCTATTTGCTTGCTTTTTTGTGTTTTGGCTATATGGTTGCTTTCGGTTTCTCTTGGCCGAATATTATTTGGGTTTTTGGTTGTTTTTGTGGCTTTGATTTACTTGGTTTGATTCTTGGGATATTTGGTGCTTTGATGCTTTTTTGGTTGCGTTCCCTTCGTTCGACTTTGCAGGGGCTTATATAGCCATTCGCCGAAGAGATTTTCTGGGTTTGTTTCCCAATATCTCGCTTTGCTCGGGTTGTTGAGGGTCGTTATAATCCCGTTTTCGACGAGATTTTGTGCTCTCGGTGTTGCTGCTGGAAAACAGGGGTATTCTTCCTTGATTCTTTCCAGATCTGGCATGATTTTGGTATCGACATGGTCGATTTAGCGTCGACGCGTGGGCCTCACACGCCCGGTAATGCTTCTCTTGCAGTGCCCTTACTTGATACAAAACCCTAGTTTGATTTGGGCTGGGTAGGCCCCCTAACCGGGCCTGCTTTACTGGGTCAGGCTGGCATGGCTTGGTTGGGCTCGCTTGTTGGACCTAAATTTGGACTTTGTTAGACTATTGCTAAACCCATATTTAATTTGGACATGAAATAATATAATATAATATAATATAATATAATATAATATAATATAATATAATATAATATAATATAATATAATATAATATAATATAATATAATATAATATATATATATATATATATATATATATATATACTATAACATATATAATTTAAAATAAATATACTACAAACAAATATAATATATAATAAACTATGTATATTATATAATACATATAATATATAATATATAATATATAATATATAATAATAGTATATAAAATATAATCTATATATATATATATATATATTATAATATACTATATAATATATATACTAAATAATATAACTATATAATATGATATTAATATATAATATACAATATATATACTATATAATATATTATATACTAAAAAATAACCCCGACGAAAATAAATGTCTAGAATATTCATCATCTCAGATCTTCACATGGTATCAGTCGCCAAAAGATCCTGATGATTCATGTTTAAATTTTTTCTATTGTTGATGATCTTTTCTATTACGAGTTCGAGATTTTGGTTATTGTTCACAACTATTGCAATTACAAGACGATCATGAGTGCAAAGCTGGGTTTTCATATGAGTATTCTTTGTTCTTGTTTCTCTGTTCGTTTTCTTACTTCTGTAAAGAACGTTTGTCTCGTGTTGACTCATAGCTAGAAGAGCAAACTAGTGGTCCGATTTGGTGTTCTTTGAGTATAAGATAGAGTTGCACTGAATTTGTTTAGATTCTTTGTAATTAGGAAGCACGGGGACGGAAAAGGAGCCCTGTTTCAAGTACCCCATACGTTTCTGGCACGGGGACGACTGGGGTATGTACCGGGGACGTGCCATGATGGTAGGTTACAACTGATCGAATTTGAGCACAGTCAAAGCTTATCTTGAGATGTTTCGGGGACGTCCCCAGTGATAATTTTGACAGAGGAAATTATAGTGAAAAGGCTTTCCAAAGCTTGTAGCGACCAAAGGAAAGAAAAAGATTTCTTGACGTATTTCAGTTCTCTTCTCGTGGGTCCTTTGCTTCTCGTCTCCATGGTAATACTACCAGTCTCCTCGGTTTCGTCTTTCAGTTCTATTTTCTGGGTTTCATTCGAACTTTTGTTCATAAAGAAAAGAAATAAAAGGAAGAAGAAGCGGTTGCGGGGAAGAAAGAAGGGTTAGAATAGGATTTAAAGAATTTTTTGGTATAATTACCTGTTGATACCTGATC